GGGATGGCCGGTTGGCTCACTGGCTGAGCGTGGTGCTGACAACACCAAGACAGGGGTTAGGATCCCCTTACCGGTCATCTTTTAAAAAAAAATAATTAAGAACACTTGTACATCAAAGGACACTATCAAGAAAATGAAAAGACAGCCCACAGAATGAGAAAAAATATTTGCAAATTATATTATCTGGGGGCCAGCCCGGTGGCGCACTGGATAAGTGCGCCGCTTGGGAAGCGCGGCGGCGCTCCCGCCCGAGGGTTCGGATCCCACATACAGACCGGTTCCCACTCACTGGCTGAGCGAGGCGCGGGAGCGACCCCGAGGGTTGCGATCCCATTGCCGGTCCCCGGTCCGGTCCGGGGGCAACACTGAGGGTTGCGATCCGTTGCCAGACACGGAAAAAGACAAAAGACCAAAAGAAAAATTATATTATCTGATAGAGGCTTAATGTTCAGTATACATAAAGAATTTTAACAACTTGACAATGAAAACAAATAATCCAATTTTAAAATTGCCAAAGGATTTAAACAGACATTTCTCCAAAGAAGATATACAGATGACTAATACGCACATGAAAAGATGCTCAACATCATTTGTCTTTAGGGAAATGCAAATCCAGACCGCAGTGACATACCACTTTACACTCACTAGGATGGCTATCAGAAGAAAAGCAGAAAATAACAAATGGTGACAAGGATGTGGAAAAATTAGAATCTTCATATGTTGCTGGTGAGAATGTAAAATGTTGTAGCCACTGTGGAAACAGTTAAACATTTCTTTCAAGTGTTAAACATAGAGTTAGCATATGACACAGCAATTTCACTCTTAGGTATAAACTCAAGAGAACAGAAAACAAATGTTCTTACAGAAACTTCTACATGAATGTTCATAGCAACACTATTCAGAATAGCCAAAAAGTAGAAACAACCCAAATGTACATCACCTGATGAATGGGTAAAAAATGTGGCATATTTATGTAATAGAATATTATTCAGCCATAAAAAGGAATGAAGTACTGATACATGCTACCACATGGATTAACCTTGAAAACATTATGCTTAGTAAAAGAAGCCAGGCACAAAAGACCACATATTGTATGATTGCATTTATATGAAATGTTCATAATAGGCAAATCCCTAGCGATGGAAAGTAGATTAGTGGTTGCTAGGCACTAGGAGGAGTGAATGGGGAGTGATTGCTAACTGTTATGAGGTTTCTTTTTGGTGAGATGAAAATGTTCTGGAATTAGATTGTGATAATGTACAATCATCTTGTGAATATACCAAAAACACTGAATTGTAAACTTTAAACTGGTGAGTTGTATGCTATATGAATTATATCTCAATTTTTAAAACTTAATCTGACAAAAAGTCAGGAAAAATTATTTAAAGAATCAGTAGAAGGGATTTGCCCTCTAGAAGCTACTATAATTACAGCAGAGTAATGCTAGTACAGGCAGAGCTTGAAAATCAACAGTACAGAATAAAGAGTCTAGACATAAACACAAATATCTATGGGCATATATTGTATGAAAAAATCAGTTAGGAAAGGTAGACTATTAAATGGTGTTGGGACAATTGTTCTAGCCATTTGGGAAAGATGCTAGAACTTGCCAAAATCAGGAATAGTGTTCTTTGAACTATAAGGCCTTTTAACTATAATGAGACAGAAAAGATACCAAGAAAGATTTCTCAGATCATTTTTACCATCCCTTTATTCTCTACTCAATACACATTCGGTAGCCCAAAACACATTCAGATATTACTCTAGCCTTCTGCCAAAGGTGGGATTTCATTGAATGTCCAAAGAATTCTGGACCTCCAAGCTGAAGAAGCTTATTTGCTCATACGGTTGGCTGTCAACTCAAACCAGCCTTCATGGGCACCACTGTGGCACTTTTTCAAAGGGGGATGATGTTCTGATGTCTGTCACCTCCCCAAAGCAGAAATATGGGATCTTAGTGACATTCAGTCATAATTCATACTTCATTAGTATCTCTAAGGGGCAAACTTTTGTCTTAAATGTATTAAAGATAAGCAGTAAGTTAGTATGATTTCTAGACAGAAACTTTTGACAGAAACTTGTAAACCTATGTTTTCCCTTTTCGTCACATGTGGTTTATCTTCTAGGAAAAAGGCACATAGACCTTGTTATAATCTCCTTAATAATAATGAAAATCAGTGTGTTAGCTCTATGTATTTCCCATGAGAAAGAGAAAAAAAAATCATTACATGGTAATGTCAGATGATTTTTAGATCTTTCCAAGGGTATCCCATAATAGGAAGTTTAGGACACATAAACCAAAATAAATTACAGTTGGATTAAACATTTAAATGTAAAAAATGAAACCATGAAAGGATTAGTGTAAAGAAAATATGGGCCAAAAGTTTTTGTTAATTCTGGTGGAGAAAGGCCATTATTTATTCTTACTGTTTTCGTTGTGTATAAAGCAAGGAACCAAAACAGCATGTATGGTATTTGGTGGTTTTTAACATCCATAGTTGGTAAAACTAAAAGTTGGCATCTTAAAACTTTCATTGGTCTGTGAATCTAGCTGTAAAATGCTGTGAACTCTAAAGTCTCCCTTTCAGCGTTGAAATGTTTACTTCTTTGGATGGCCGAAATGTCCTGGAGATTCCTTCTTGGCCTCTAATTTTGTGGTTCTGTAGTATTATAGAAACTTGTTCATGTCAGCGTCAGACATAAACTTCTTTATGTATTTATGAATTTTGCAGATGTGTTTGATAAAGAATACAAGATGGCATACGATCGTCTCACACCTAGTCAAGTCAAGAGTACACACAACTGTGATAGACCACCAAGTACAGGGGTGATGGAATGTCGAAAAACCTTTGGAGAACCTTATCTTTAAGATATGTGTGTGTGTACACATTCAGTGTATATTGTATAGTCCATGTATAAAATAATACTTATAGATTCTAAAATGTTTTTTCTTCAAATTTTGAAAATGCATTTGTAAATGGTTCAGAAAGCCTATGTACAGAATGTTTTAAGAAGAGAAAAGTAACAAGTGGGAGAGAGCCACCTTGTTTCCCATTTCTTTTTTAGTTGTTAACTCCCCTGTAATAGGTAATTAAATATTTTTGTGGTAAGGAAATCTCTAAACAAAATTAGTTGCCATAAAATAAGACAACTGTTTTATGGTTTCTCTTGGAAGAAACAGATTGAAAAATCATGTGTGGAGCCTAAACAGAAATGTAAGATCAGAGTATCTCCTGTTTTCATAGACTATTCAAATGTTTTGACCATGAAGTTGTATTATACATATTTTAAATTGTTTATAGTAAGTTGATATTTTTTTAATTTTTGAATTTAATATAGCAAGCTTAAAATGAATTTAAACTTATGAGGCAAGCAAGCAAGTGCTTATTTTCCTTGTCTGTTGCTATTTGAAATAATTAGTACAGCTGCAGATCTCTCTATATGTTTATCTATCTATCTATATATATATATATATATTTTATTACTTGGGAGAATGAATTTAAAAATGTCAGTGCTAGTGTCAGTGTCATCCTAGCATTGCATGTTAGTACCCCTAACCCTGACTGCAGTGAGTGAGTCATGGCCAGGCTAGTGTGTACTGCCCAGGCTGACTCATTAAGCCTTGGGAAAAGAAAGCCAGAGAGGTTCACTGTACCATGATTCCAAACGTTTCTCTAATACTAATAGATACATAGAGAGTACACTGGGAAAATAGCTTATAAATCCAAATATCAATTTGAATTTTAATATTCTGCATGAAAACTTACACTGGGAAATATGTCAGACAATTGACTCTATTCCAAATTTTACCCTTATTTTAATATCTAAAATATGCAAATTGTACTATAGAATACTTATCTGAAATGTGACTTACTAGGGTATTCTGTTAATACTATATATAAATAGTCAAAATATTTTTCCAAAAGTCAAAAAACAATAACCCCTTAAAAGTACAGCCAGATAGAATTTCCCATATGGAGGAACTTAGCTTTTTCTACAAGCTTCAGAATCTGAAGTTTATAGAAACTAAAATGCAGAAGAAAAACAATAACCCCTTAAAAGTATAGCCAGATAGAATTTCCCATATTGAGGAACTTAGCTTTTTCTACAAGCTTCAGAATCTGAAGTTTATAGAAACTAAAATGCAGAAATCAGAGAAAGACAATAAATTGAATGTTTAAATACCATAGACTTTAAAAGACTTAAAATTTATGTTTAGTCACATTACTTCTAATATCACTTTCTTTGGGTAATTTCTGATAAAGAAAAAGCATCCTTTGGCTGTTAGAATTATTTCTAGATTTTCAGTGTGTGTGTGTGTGTGCATTTGCACACATTATCGTTAATGAAGGAATTCTCTAGCCAATTTTAAAGAAAAATATGGATGGTCTCAAATTAGGCATGTAAAGCCAGTAGACTTCATGACACTCAGACTGGAGATATCTTGGAGTCCTGAGACTTAGAATCAGTTCAGCCGCAGAAAAACCACCTATTAGGTTCGCACCATTAATGAATAGCAGCAAGCCGAAACATTTCATAGCTTTCTACTCTGGAAAATAATGGAGAGTAAAACTTCAGTTCAGTTAGTTTGGGGCTGAACTTGCTTACTTGAAAAATCTGGTGCTATGCACGTACAACGCCTCTCCTTTGTAAATATCACTGCAGTCATTCTTTACTATTGAAATCCAAGCTTCACACTAAAATCGAGTCTTATGTTCTCTAAATCATTTGAAAGTTGAAAACTGAGAGAAACATTTGATGAGGGAGGCCTTCGGCATTGGTGAGAAACATCCCTCCAAACAGGATTCTGGGGTTCTATTTGTTGTTGTTTTCATTCCCTTGTAAGAACACCTTTCACTGCTTACTTTTTCTGTAATGCAAACAATGTATAGAAGTCATAGTTTATTGATTTCAAATGTCTGACAAAAAAGATTGAGGTAAAGCCATTCTTTATGATTCAAACTCATTTGGAAAAGTGAATGTAATTTTTATCTCCTCTTCCCACCTCAAATTTTGTCTGTGCTTTTGGATAGGATTATATTTCCCCTACTTTTAATCCTCAGGACTGTTATTGCACAAATTCAGTCTTTAAAAATAAAATCTAAAACATGAACAGAAAGTGGTAAACCCTGCTCAAAAGAAAATTAAAATGAGTCATCCTTTTATATAACTCTGTACAAACCTTTCTTCAATTTTCTCTCTGTTGACCATACATTTTAGAGAATCATGGCCAATCACATTGGACAGAAATACCCTTTTGCTACATTATCTACTTCTTATTTTCTTACTCTTAGTTTTGTTTATGTGTTTAAAATCTTGAAAATAAACCAATGCTCTGTGCTGGTATAAATTGTTTACTAATTCCTACCATTATGTTCACACATTTGTACTTTATATTGTATTTGAAACATCCAACTTTTTCCTACTGTTGCCAAATAGGGAATTATGCAGCTGTTCATCTTTTGATTTTTATGCTTTTTTTGCTACTATTTGGGGTTTTTTGCTTTAAAATATCAAAACCATCAGCTTATTTTATTATAAGGTTTTCTAGTATGTCTCTCCATTTTTGCATATAGAGAAATGACCCCTGAAAATGTTGGTTCAACATTCTAGGCAATAAATACTTATTTTTACTTAATGCTGATAATTAACTATGATACTTAAGTGCAAGTAGCAAGTGTTAGCCAGCTCTATATAGAAGTTATGTTTTATTTCTAAATTCTTTGTATAAGTATGTGGTAAGAAAAATACCCATTTGTTTGGAAATGTGTAATAGCCCAGCTTTAGTCTTATTTTTCCCACTAGAACTTGAAAGCTGCTATTAGGTGCTTTATCTGAGAGCAGAAAGAGAAAGAGCAGGCTGCCTCTTTGAGAGGGCCCTTGGCCTTTGTGCTACAGTTAGCATGCTCTGCCCCTTCCTATTTGGAAACAAGACTAAACTTTATTTCAGAATTGAACTCTAGCAGCTGTATACCAGTTTACCTTAATATCCTAAGTACTCGGTGTCCTACTATTCCTTCATACGTCCTTCCTCCTCTGGCCTCAAAGTGAGCATATTTGCTGGCTTAATTATTTTTGTTTACAAAATTAGCAGTACACAAATTAACACAGGAATTTTTATTGCTGATTCCAAGTCTGTGTACATGTCCTTGAGATGGTAATAGACTCTTCTGATAAAGGTACTGCTTGCCTTTCCACAGTTGCTGTTCATTTGGATGGCTCCCTTCATTCGTATTTAAAGACTTTCTTTTCAAATGTAGTACTGTGATAAAACTCTTAGAGCAACTGATGGACTTTTCTGTAAATGAAATTCTCCAGGTTTTGCTTCCTCATCACAGGGAAGGGCCTGAAAACCAGAAGTATGCCTCTGGTTATACAGGCAGACTTGAGCCAGGGTGTCCTGCCAGACTGTAGTGAACCTCCCAGGGATGGGCAGCCCTGCTCATGAGCCCCTCTCTTTGCACCTTTCATAGTGACCAGTCCCAGAACAGACTGCAAGCTGTACCTGCTGGAGGCCAAAAATGGGGTTAGAACCAAGGGTATTCATCGGCACATGAGGCCAACCAGATCTTCCCATTTATCTACCAGGCTGTGCCCTAAATATTAAATTCCAATTCCTGCCTCCTTTGGTATTCAATATTTAAATTAAATGATAATTTTGATAAACAGTGTTATAAAAGATCAAGCCTATAATTTGATAAATCTATTTTCAGATCTATTGATGACAGTACAATAAAATGTTCAAAATGTATAGAAACCAATTTAAACACATACCACTTTTCAAAAAATTTGGAATACATCTCTTTTTCTCTGGTACTACATAGAATCTTAACTCATTAAATTAGGAAGAATTTCATATTTTTAAAAATCTGTCCCAAACCTATTACCAGGGCTATCAGGGAAATGCAGCCCAGAGAGGAGGAAGGCAAAGTCATCCATGCAGCTACTGTCCTCCAATTCAGAAGCACAAATGGGACGGTTCAGGCTTTCTAGGATGAATAATTGACCTATACAGACCATTTTGCCCATCAAATGAGAGGACCATCTCAGTATTGACATTTTAAGAGGTATTTTACCTCTAAAACAGCATGATTTTAATGTTATAGTAGGTTAATAAATGTATGACAAAAAGTTCAGTTTCCAAGCATAACAAATTGATCTTTTAGAAGTTACTTAAGTTTTCCATTTCCCTAAAATCTTCTTTCTCTCCCCGAATGAATTCCTACTTATCCATCAAGATTTAGCTTTCATTTTATGTACTTATCCCTTTCTGTCATAGTGTGAAAGTAATCAGAACTTCCTTTCTAGACAAAGGGAAATGTCAGAAATTCAGCAATCTGGGGGAAGTATGTCAGATCATTAGAGTTGGTTTTAATCACTAAGTGGATATTTCAACACCTTATTATTACAGAACATTTCACTGTCCATTCCACACTCAGTTTGCAGAAGAGCATCAGATCCCAGGCTGTCAGTGAGAAGATGACATCCCTCTAAGCTAGCTGGAATTAGCAGCAGACACCATTGGTTGGTGCCCAGAATTTTAATTTTGGGATCTCCTTCCAACAGGCATTGTTCTCAGGCCATGGCATATGGAGACCTGGCAGTGCAGCAGCATTAGGAATGAGGATAATTAATTAAAGAATATGGAATTTGAACACGATTCCACATTCTTCATTAGTCTTCTCTTTAGCATTGTGACCAAGTGACCTAAAGATAGGGATGAGCCCATCCATATTTTTAAAGTAAAATACCATTAGGATTCACAATTTATTGAAATTTAATAAAAATTATTTATAAAGAATGGGAGTCCTGGGGTAGTGAGGCAATTGACTAAATTAACCAGCACATCTTAAAAGATGGCGTACTTTGAACACCTTAGCTCTTCAACACCAAAATGTTTGATTTTTTTTTCACATCTCATCTTTCCTACTATCCTCATCTG